TTAGGAATTAAGACTTTTCGGCCATTTCAAGCGCGCGAAACGCACGAATTACAAAACTGTTTTTATAAAAAAAATTGTACATTATTTATTAAATAATATTTTGGCATCAAAATTGTCAAAAATATTTTTCTTTTATTAGGTTATACATTAAATAAAAAAAACGCAAGAAATATTTTATAAAAGTAGATAGTAGTATAGTATAGTATATTTCGATAAATGATCATATGTACAATAGAAACTTAACTTATTATACAGTGTACCCTAAAGGTGTAGATCGTGTCAATAAATAATTCAAAATAAAAGCATAAGTATACACAATTAAAATTCTAGAAAAGGATAAAACTACAGTTAGAATAAGACATTAAAATATTAAAACAATACATTAAAATATTAAAACCATACATTAAAATATTAAAACAATACATCAAGTGCTGGAAAGTATAATACATTCTAGATCATGGAAATCTTTCTCCTCCAAAAATTCATTAATACTATAGTAACATTTTTTGACTAGAAACTTGTTTAGTTTTGCTTTTTGTTGGTTGATCTTTAATGTTTTGAAAAATGTGGGTAGTATATTCCAGATTTTGACTATCATATATAATATGTTTTTTGCAAGTAAGAGAAATTTGCTCGATCAGGATATAACAGATCCTTGTTTCTAGTATTATATATATGATCATGTTGAAGATCTGTTAAGGTGGAGCTATTTTTTATTGCAAACATTATACATTCATAGACATAAAGACTGTGTAAAGTAAGGATGCTTTTGTTCAATCGCGAATTAGATATGGAATAATGTTCTGGGGAAACTCCGTAAACAGTGGAAGAATCTTCACATTACAAAAAAGGTGCCTAAGAACCATATTTAAAATGGAACCACTAGATTCGTGCAGGGAGGCATTTGTGAATAATAATATCGATATTATTATTCACAAATGCCTCCCTGCACGAATCTAGTGGTTCCATTTTAAATATGGTTCTTAGGCACCTTTTTTGTAATGTGAAGATTCTTCCACTGTTTACGGAGTTTCCCCAGAACATTATTCCATATCTAATTCGCGATTGAACAAAAGCATGATATGCTGACAGAGCTGCAGAGATGCTAATATTATTGGTAATTATGGATACGGCGTAACAATATCTTGCGACATCTGCTGCCAGGAGATTCACATATAATTATAATAATTTAAAGGTGTGGACGGGACAAAAAAAAGATTTATCTTGTCCCGTCCAGCCCTGTCAATTATTGAAATTATCTCTACTTTTATAAAATATTTCTTGCGATTTTTTTTATTTAATGTATAGCCTAATAATAGAAGAATATATTAGACAATTTTGATGCAAAAATAATATACCTATAATAAATTACCTACAATTTTATTTATAAAAACAGTTTTGTGATTTGTCCCGTCCATCCGCTTGAAATGGCCGTTTTTTATCTATTGATACTATAGGGGCAACATTTTGAACAGCTTTTGTAATTTTATACAGGGCTCTTTTCAGAGCCAGTCAGTGGCGGCTGGTGGATTTTGGGTATACCAATATTTCAGTTATTAGACTTGGGACCCACACCAAATTTAAATTGAAGTTTGCGAAAAAAGTTAATTTTCCTGTCGCCTCACCCGCCTCCAGGCCCCCCTATTTAAGATAATTCAAATTAATTAATTTAATTAAAGTGGTGCAGGTTATAATCTACTATAATTTATACACAAATTTAAAATTTTATTTAAAAAATCCAAATATAACAGGTTTTATACCATTTTAAATATTTTTTTATTTTAATAAATTAAATAATAAAAATTTAAAATCGAATAAAATCTGTAATTATTGAATTTACAAATAAAATTTTAAATTTGTCGATAAATTATAGTAGATAATAAATTGCACAACTTTAATTTGAGTTATCTTAAATAGGGGGGCCTGGAGGCGGGTGAGGCGACAGGAAAAACTAACTTTTTTCGCAAACTTCAATTTAAATTCTGTTTGCGCCAAACTTGTCTATTTAATGTCATTATAATTATTATAAATTTGGTGTGGGTCCCATCAAATATAATACATATTATCTTTGGGTCCCATGTCTAATAACTAAAATATTGGTATACTCAAAATCCACCAGCCGCCACTGGAGCCAGTTTGCTATTTATTGGTTTAAAAATCGGTTCTTTTCAGGACCAAAATTTAATTACTAAAAAAAGATTAAGCTTTTAATGTAGGGTAATTTCAAAATTACTGAACAGGGGATTAATTACATCACACGTTTATTTATGCTTATAAATGAAAGGCTTTGTTTGGCCTGTTTTGGTAGCTAAACTTGAGATATTTCTTAAATTTCACTTTAAACACATTTTCTTGCTTAAAATATGTCAAACAATGCCTATACTTGGGGTATCACACTTTTTTCTTGTTTATTTATGCTTGTAAATGTAAGAAAAGCCCCCTGGCCGGTTTTGGTAGCTGAACTTGAGATATTTCTTAAATTTCACTTTAACCACATTTTCTTGCTTAAAATATGTCAAACAATGCCTATACTTGGGGTATCACACTTTTTTCTTGCTTATTTATGCTTGTAAATGGAAGAAAAGCCCCCTGGCCTGCTTTGGTAGATGAACATAACCTAAAATATTACTTGAATTTCACTTAAAACACATTTTATTTCTTAAAGTATGCTGAAAAATGTCAAACAATGCATTTACTTGGGGTTTCACACTTTTTTCTTGCTTATTTTTGCTTGTAAATGGAAGAAAAGCCCCCTGGCCTGTTTTGGTAGCTGAACCGAAGATATTAAAAATATTACTTGAATTTCGCTAAAAACACATTTTCTTTTTTAAAATATACTTGAAAAATGTCGCACAATGCGTTTACTTGGGGTACCCTATCACACTTTTTTCTTCCTTATTTATGCTTGTAAATGGAAGAAAAGCCCCCTGGCCTGTTTTGGTAGCTGAACTTGAGATATTTCTTAAATTTCACTTAATACACATTTTCTTGCTTGAAATATGTCAAACAATGGCTATACTTGGGGTATCACACATTTTTCTTGCTTATTTATACTTGTAAATGAAAGAAAAGCCCCCTGGCCTGCTTTGGTAGCTGAACCAAAGATATTAAAAATATTACTTGAATTTGACTTAAAACACATTTTCTTTCTTAAAGTATGCTTAAAAAATGTCAAACAATGCATTTATTTGGGGTATCACACTTTTTTCTTCCTTATTTTTGCTTGTAAATGAAAGAAAAGCCCCCTGGCCTCTTTTGGTAGCTGAACTGAAGATATTAAAAATATTACTTGAATTTTACTTAAAACACATTTTCTTTCTTAAAGTATGCTTAAAAAATGTCAAACAATGCATTTATTTGGGGTATCACACTTTTTTCTTCCTTATTTTTGCTTGTAAATGAAAGAAAAGCCCCCTGGCCTCTTTTGGTAGCTGAACTGAAGATATTAAAAATATTACTTGAATTTTACTTAAAACACATTTTCTTTCTTAAAGTATGCTTAAAAAATGTCAAACAATGCATTTATTTGGGGTATCACACTTTTTTCTTCCTTAATTTTGCTTGTAAATGAAAGAAAAGCCCCCTGGCCTGCTTTGGTAGCTGAACCGAAGATATTAAAAATATTACTTGAATTTCACTTAAAACACATTTTCTTTCTTAAAGTATGCTTAAAAAATGTCAAACAATGCATTTATTTGGGGTATCACACTTTTTTCTTGCTTATTGCTTGGAAATGAAAGAAAAGCCCCCTGGCCTGTTTTGGTAGCTGAACTGAAGATATTAAAAATAGTACTTTAATTTCACTTAAAGTATGCCTAAAAAATGTCAAACAATGCATTTACTTGGGGTATCACACTTTTTTATTGCTTATTTTTGCTTGGAAATGGAAGAAAAGCCCCCTGGCCTGTTTTGGTAGATGAACATAACCTAAAATATTACTTGAATTTCACTTAAAACACATTTTATTTCTTAAAGTATGCTGAAAAATGTCAAACAATGCATTTACTTGGGGTTTCACACTTTTTTCTTGCTTATTTTTGCTTGTAAATGGAAGAAAAGCCCCCTGGCCTGTTTTGGTAGCTGAACCGAAGATATTAAAAGTATTTCTTGAATTTCACTTAAAACACATTTTCTTTCATAAAATATACTTGAAAAATATCAACCAATGCATTTACTTGAGGTATCACACTTTTTTCTTGTATATTTATGCTTATAAATGAAAGAAAAGCCCCCTGGCCTGTTTTGGTAGCTGAACTGAAGATATTAAAAATATTACTTGAATTTTACTTTTTCTTTCTTAAAATATACTTGAAAAATGTCAAACAATGCATTTACTTGAGGTATCACACTTTTTTCTTGTTTATTTATGCTTGTAAATGGAAGAAAAGCCCCCTGGCCTGTTTTGGTAGCTGAACTAGAGATATTTCTTAAATTTCACTTTAAACATTTTCTTGCTTGAAATATGTCAAACAATGCCTATACTTGGGGTATCACACTTTTTTCTTGCTTAATTATGCTTGTAAATGGAAGAAAAGCCCCCTGGCCTGTTTTGGTAGCTGAACCGAAGATATTAAAAATATGACTTGAATTTCACTTAAAACACATTTTCTTTCTTAAAATTTGCTTGAAAAATGTCGCACAATGCGTTTACTTGGGGTATCACACTTTTTTCTTACTTATTTATACTTGTAAAAGTAGAAAAATCCCTTGGCCTGTTTTGGAGGTTAAACATTTGTTGTTACTGTTTTTCAGGATTAGTTGTGGTTTATTACCTAAATTATAACTATTAAAATTACACTTAGGACGCTTTTTCCTCTTTAAAATATGTAAAACAATGCTTAAACTTGCTTTATAACCCATTAATAAACAACTTGTTTTAAACAAGTATTCACAGAACATAAGTATTGCTAAACTAAATTGCAAAATTTTTGGTAGCGGTATAACTAAGTTCAGCTTTTTTCTGATAGATGGCGCTACTTACTTAAGTTTTAAAATGTATTTTCTGTAATTTTTTCAGCTCTGCCTTTTGTCCTACCCTCTATGCTCTTGTCTGGCGCGCTTGGTGTTTTTTGTTCTCAGTGAGAACATATGTACTTATGGTTGGCAAAACTGTATTAACATGAAAACTAAAGTGACAGTAGTGACATGAGTTGTCATGAAATGTCACCTGATTAGGTGTTTCACAATAATATTTTTAACTATGACACCGAGAATGAAGAAGTGCAAAGTTAGGTAGTATAGTAAAAAATAAATCAAAATGAACAATGGGGAGGAGCAATGGACGCTGTATTCTGCTGCTCAACATTTGCCGGCTGTTTTGAACGACCCAAACCGTGGAAAACAATTAAACTTTTTCACGAGAACATGGGGAGACACGTTTGTAGAAAAAACAGAAATTCCAAAAAGTCCTTTTTTGCCAGAAATAACCTATGCCCATCTAGATTCATACATAAGGAAATATGGAAAGAGATACAAAAGACATGTAAGGCTATCTGATGTAAAATTTGATGAGAACCTGAGGGCCAAAAGTAAAACAGACTTGCTGAATAACGAATTAAATACAGATTGCATTCCTGAAATATTTTTGAGACAGAATTTTAACCTCAACAACCCCAAAGTGTTCATTCAAGTGTTCCATAAGAACGAGAATAGAGACGAACATGAACTACAAGAAGAGCTCAGTCACTACCTGGACATTGTCGAAGTACAAATTGCCAAACAAGTCTCACAAAAATCTGGTGCTTTTTTCCACGCCATGACATCTCATGACACCATTATGGAGCAGATGGGAGTAGCTAGTGGTGAAGTGAGATTGTTAAGATCCAAAGTACAAAAAGTGAATAAAACATTAGCTAAAGACTCCCTTAGATTGATAGGGTTAGCCAGGTCTAAATCTAATCATGTCACTTTAGTGGATAAGCTTAAGCTGATGTCCACCGTTCTGCAAACGCAACCCACTTTACAGCTGCTGTTGAGTTCTTCTGATTACGTTGGGGCTTTGGAACTGATTTCTAGTACACAAGAAGTTTTAGCAAAAGAGTTAGCAGGTAAGAACAAATGAAGTCTGTAAAATAAGGGGCAATACAATTTAACATAAGAAACAATCCATTTTAAAAGTTTTAATTGCAGTCCATGGATTATAATTGTAATATTATAATAACATTAATTGTTTACAATATTTTATTTACTTTAATATTAATAATTGCTAAATGTGTTTATTAGGTGTAGTTGTCCCTGATTTTATGTACCTTTTAAATGATATTGGGAACAGTAATAAAAATGTAAATATACAATTAAGTTCTATTTATATTAATATTATCTATAACCTTGAGGAAAGGTAACTGTTATTATGGAAATATTTTCTACCAATTTAGGTATTTAAAAATATATTTAAATTGTGCATGTTAATATTTTTTTTTAGTTAACAAAATAAATAAGAAAGTTTATTTTACCATTTTAGTTTGGGTGTTATTTGGTTTATAAACTAATAAGTAATAATTATGGTAACACTTGAATCAATTTATGTTAACTTTATTTTTTTGGTTTAAAACATTTGATCTTGCTTTTATGGTATGAAAATCCACCAAAAAAACTGAATAAAGCAGCCTAAAAAGAAAAATATCCTTTGGATATTTTGTAGCCTATAGGTTGCTTAACAATTATGATGTCAACAATTCTTTTAGAAATACACCCTTTATGCCAAAAATTCCTATTATGATGTCAACAATTCTTTTAGCAATACACCCTTTATGCCAAAAATTCCTTTTGCAGATTTTAAATAATACACACAGGACATTTATATGCTCCAAACCGTTAAAAAATGTATTAGGAAGGTCTGTCAATATGTTCTAGGTATTTTCACCATTTAGCATTGCTACTGGCCTTTCTTGAGTAGGAGCTATTTAATTACAGTTGGCAATATTTTTCTTATCTTATCACTAATTAGCCAACAGTGTATATTTTAAAAAATATGTTTTTGTTATAAAATTTTCTTGTCTATATAGGGTTCACATGTATATATTTTATTTGAAGAGCTATAAGGTCGGTTAAATTACACAAAAGTTGCTTAGTTACAAGTCTAATAAAACCGAATTTAAAAATTTGATAAAAAGTCAGCCGTTCTCAAAAAACTGAAAACCTGTCAAAACCCAATATCGTTATTCCTGGAAATTTTTTAACAAAAATTAATTTTCACATACAAATTTATCTACATTTTCATCCAATTTGTGATGTTTTCGCCTACTGGATTTTGAGATACCATGGCCGCCATATTGAAAGTTTACAAAATTAGATAAAAAAAATCTAGGAAACCAACAATGTATAATATGGTGATGGTACCTAACTTAAACTGAATGAAAATGTAGATTAATGTGTGTGTTTACCTGTAAAATTTACTTTGCTTTAAATTTCTCAGAAATAACAAAGTTCTAACGATTTTTGGTTTTGAAAGGTTTGAGTATGAGTTCAAGTAACGTATGGCAGGCCCCATCGGCATCGCCTTACACTGATCTTCCAGGGTTATTTTACTCCCTTTCAGTTCTCCAAATTTTTACCCCGGTTGGTAAATCTCGCCTAGGAGGTCGTGGATGACAGTGTTGATGGTTAAGACTACTCCCGGAATGTTGTCGCCGGGCCAGGCCATACGCCCGATTTAGGCGAATGAAGTGCGGGACAAGGACGGAAAACATTTTAGTTTTTAGGTGACATTGGACTGACCCAAAACTAAGTACAATCCAGAATCCCATTCATTTGAGGTTCATGAATGAGGTTTGGTTGGTTAGTACGCTGCTAGGACCTATCCTTGCTGGTCTTATTCTATAAAATTGCTCCTATTTTTGTTTTTTTTAATTCTCTCATACGCCCCGCAGCAGGTTATTACTTTTGTTCGATGCCTAAAATTTAAGGTGTTTAGTTTATTATGTTAGGCAAATATCGGAACTGGTTGTTTATTTTAGTTTTTTTGTTAAGTTTTAATTTTGTTGGGGCTGGCCTCTCAAGTTTATGCTTATTATTTATGTTTTGAGACGTTCTTACCTAATGATTGGTTTATTTACGCTGTTACGCTGCTTTCAGTAATAATGATTGATTATTGTAAGGTTTTTGTGTCGAATTTGCGAGTTAGGTCGTGCGATTAATTAGTACTTATCAGATTTTTGCAGATGATGGCCCCTTTCACTCTTGGTTAGACTCGATTGTTCTTTACATAAAGGTATTCATATTGGCCTGGGGTTACATCTCCCCTGTCGTATGGCCTTTATTCAGTATTTTCACTTGTTGAGGGTTGCTTTTTAATGCACTAATTTAAGGTTTCTATTAACAACAGGTACACTGATTTTTCTTGTCCAGGTAGTAAATCTTTGCACTAATTTCGCACAGTAGGTATTTTTCTTAAACTACACTGCATAAGCGATTTTTATTTTTTCTTTAAGACTTATTATTAGCGATCGAATTCGTTCGAAAGCACGTCTGCTTGTCTACCCGCCTGTATCGGTAATGTCGATTTTTGGTTTTGAAAGGTTTTTAGTTTTTTTATTTTAATTTTGAGAACCGCTTACGGTTTTTTTTAAATTCATAAATTTCTTGTTAATAGGCTTGTAATTACGCAACTTTTCTGTAATTTAACCGACCCTGTAGCTCTTCAAATGAAAAAATACCTATAGAAGGATACTGGTGCACCCTGTAAACAAACATAAAAATTAGTTAAAGGTTTTAAAGTTTTTATATTTTTAAAAATAAAACAAACTCGTGTAGGTAATTTTTATTAAATTCGCGATTGCGATTTTAGAATCACGCATTTTTTTGCTCAACTCTAATCATCTTTATTTTTTAGGAGTTACTAGTCTACGATACCTCCCCTCGCAACTAAAGGAAATGCTCAAACTGATCAGCAAAATGTTAAGCACCGAGTTCGAGCGATACGCCGCCGCCGACCTGCACCGGCCGCTCGACGGCATTGGCGGCGTTCTTGAGCCTGAACGGCTAACCAGCCTCGTCGCCGGACTGCTGCGCGAGAGACACCTGCAATTCTTGGAGACGTACAAGCAAGAAGCGGTCACGGCTGCGCAGGCGTTACTCAAACAACTGATGATCGAGCAGCTGGCCGACGCCGAAGACGATCTGGAAAGTCTCACGGGGTCCGGAGAGGTGGCGCCATCCATGGACGCCGCCAGGTGGCTTAGCGTGCTGAATCTCGCCAGTGAAGCCCTAGGTACAGTAGGATTTTTAGAAAAAAACATGAAAAAAAGAACGTTTCTTTTTCGTTTTTTAAAATTTTGAGCAAATTGTATATTAATAATAAAGTAAAGTTGAGGTCCATTCTAAAACTCGGCTTTATAATAAAAATGAGTTAGTGTTGTCTGTACATTAAACATGTAGCTCCCTACACCCTGAAAAGGTCATAATATTCTAAAACTCACCTTATTCCATTTAAAATTCATTTACAAATTGACTATCGTTCCAAAACTTGCCTTATCTATTAGTTATATCATGTCAGAACTCGGCTTATACAATTGAGCCTATGAGCGTTACAAAATTTGATCATGTGACCATTCCACGACTGAAACTCCATAAACGTCTTATAAACGAGATGGATAAACAAGAGGAAAAAATGCCACAATGTGTGAAAGTTTCTCTTAGAATTTAAGTTTATTTTTAAATTTAAAATGTTTAATAAATTTTTCTCTAAAATAAACTTTTGACTTTTCTAAACTGATTATTCCAAAACTTTTCTTATCAAACCGGTCCTGCCAAAACTCGCTTTATTCATTTTTTTATTTTAAATTATTTCAAATTCGAGTCGTACCTTTTTAATTAATGTTATACTTATGCCTATATCTTTCGTTTAAATTTTTCTGTGGCCTGATATGCGTTGGTACCCACGGGTAAGGTTTTTTACATTTTGCTCAAAATCTCCTAATATGAATAAGCCGAGTTTTGGAATACACCTCCTCAATTTAGAATATATTACGTTTTCCATACTAACAAATTTGATTTCTTATTATTTGGTAGTTTCTACATAAGAAACCAATAACAATGTAAAACTTCTTGAAGTCTATTATAGGTAGTTTTTTTAAGATCAAATCAAAACAACCTGGGGCTAGAGATGCGACTTGATGGTCAGGTCAGGTCTGGTTTTTTTCATTGTTTTTTTCAAATGGATTTTTTTCACATTTTAAGTTTTTTTTCAAGATTAGTCCCATTTGCCTAATTTATTAGGTTTCATGGACTAAAATTAGCCAGTAAATGACAATTAGTAAATGTAAATACAGTCTCGCGCTATGCACGCGCCACCACCACCGAATTGACCAATAAGGGCCGCGCTTGTTTTGATTTGGTCCTAAAAAAAGTAACCACATACCTATAATATTTTTGATTCAGCGCTTTCAAAAGCACTTTTTTCATGATTTTTCAAATTCATGTAGAGTATGGAATTTTTTTTTTCAAAAAAACAATAGCAAATTCTTATAGACCATTTATTCATTGGTGGTTAAGTCAGAACATTCCGTGGACCAGAAAGCCAAAAAAATCGATTTTTTTTATTACGGTATTTGTTAGGATTGAGCGTTGCACATTTTTCATCTAAAAATCTCAAAACTAGAAACTTCAAGGTTCAAATTGCTTTTTTTACGGCTCCAATACGACCATTTTTAACAAAGATACAGCTATCCGAAGAATCGCAAAACAATTTTTTTTATCCTTTAATTTTTTGTATTGGTGTAGAAGGTTTACATTGATTTCTAATGTGGAAACAACCAAATAATAAGAAAGCAGATTTTTTAGTCTCGGTCAAAATTTTCAATAATGAAAAATTTAATATATTCTACATTTCACTTTATTATTAATATAATTTTACTCAAAATTTCATTTTGAAAAAAAAACAAAAAAAACCGTTTTTTTTGTGAGATCACACGAAATCATGCGAAAGTGGGAGGAGCAAAATCGTACGAAAGTTTACAAAAGCGTATTCTCGAAACAAGGGATTGATCATTTGTGATTTTTTCGGGCGAAGTGAACATCGCTTGGTGGGAAGTAGACGAACGTGTGAATATTAGACAATCGCCACATAAATATAATCTTAAAAGTAAATGCCATATTAGAGTGTCTTCCTTGTTATTTTTAAACAATGAATTTTGACGAAATTGTATTAAACAATTTTATAAATGATCTTGAAGATGCAGAAGAACAAAATTGATAAATAACGCGATTGTAACAATAGGTTGGTAAGTCAAATTTGATCGAGATGAAATTTAAAACAATCCGTGCACTTGCCATCACATACTTTCGAGAATACGACTTTTCGGTATCAGTCGATGACGGTTGGATGTGAAATATCCCATCACCGAAGTGATCTTTCGCTTCGCTTATTTTGAAGTATAGCGTCCCTGATTGCCGCAGGTGGAGAGCGCGGACCATATTGGTCAATTCGGTGGTGGTGGCGCATAGAGCTTGACTGTATTTAAATTTACATTTTCTAAATGTTAGTGGCTAAATTTTGATCTATAAACTGGACTGGAAACATAAAAAATTAGGCAAATGGAACTAATCTTGAAAAAAAAACATAAAATATGAAAAAAATCAGTGAAAAAACACATCTCTAAACGTGGAATCAAAAATGCTTTCTTCTTAATTTGGTCCACGTTGTGTTATAGTTTTTTTATTTATTTTTAGGTAAGCTTGTTCAAAGGGTGAAGGCGGTTCACGACGTCATCAGAGAAACAGCGGCGGCGAGTGCGGGACTTTCCGCCACTCCTTCGGAAACGGAAAACTTCCTAACCGGCGGAGAACATCAAAGAGTGGAATCGAAACTGAAAGAAATCCTGATTTCCGTGTGCGATTATTGCAACGAACGTCTCGCCTCGCTGGTGAGCCAGCAGTCGGACAAACAAACGATCACGTCTACACAAATCACGGAGCTGTCGGCCATCGTGGAAATTTTCACGGAAAAGTGCGAAGTGATATGCGGTAAGCAAAGCCCGTCGTTGAAGGCGGCATTTAAAATACAAGCGGGCAACTACGTGCACAAGTTCCACAGTCAACGCAAACACAAACTGACTCTTCTGCTGGACGCGGAACGGTGGAAAAGCGCCGACGTACCCCTCGAAATTCAAGTACTAGTCGATAAATTGGCATTGGGCGGCATCGTCAAGTCGTTACCGGGCTCGCCAACCGAGTCTATAACAATCAAATACGACAGCAAAGCGGCTGTTTCGTTGACAGTCGGGAGTCAGCAATACATAACGATCGGCACTAGCTTGATCCTCATTAGTTTGGTGAGCGAGTACTGCGTGTGCGCGTACGACTTGCAGATGCTCGCGCCGGTGATCGGTAGAAATTTAGCGGAACTACTAAGAACGTTCAACTCGCGCTCGTGTCAGTTGGTGTTGGGCGCAGGCGCGTTAAAAACGGCGGGGCTAAAAACTATTACGAGCACCAACTTGGCGCTCGCGTCGAGATCGCTGCAGTTGCTTTTGTGGCTCATAAACAGCGTTCGGTCGCATTTTACCGGTCTTACTAGTGATCCTCTGTGTTGTTTCGATATCGTCGAAAAAGATATCGGACATCATATCCAGCAGTTGGAGACCAAAGTGCTTTCCATAATGAATTCGTTGCTGGGCGATCAGCTAAACGAATGGGATGCCAAACCACCAGTTCCTTCAAAGCAATTTAGAAATATTTCCAGGCACCTCATAAAGCTGCATGAAGCTGTCAGTTCTGTTTTGCCCATAGAACAGGTAATAGTAAGAATTTTGATGTCTTAAACATTGATTTGTTTTTCTTATAGGTTAGTGATATTTATGAAACGATCAACAAAAACTTCAAAACGTGTTTGAGAGACCAACTGTTAAAAATGAACATTCAAAACAACGGCGGACCTCAGCATGGAGTTGTCACAACGGAAATTATATTCTATATGGAAACCATGAAAAATCTGAAAGTATTATCGGATAAATATTTTAATGATAAAGCCATGGACGATATATGGGTGCGGTAATATTTAGTCGGAATTATAAGTTAAGCTTCGTATATTTATTAAATCAATTTGTATAGTATTATATGTGATTGCGGTATACCAATTTTATTATCAAAGGTCTTGTATATAAAATAATAGATTTTAACTACTAAATTGCGTTTTATTTTATAAATGCACGAAATTCATTAATTTTTCTGGCATTTAGCTATTGGGTCAAAATTACTGTTATCACTCAGGAGATTATTTCTTATAACTGAGATTTCATTAAAATATCTTTAATAGTTGAGAAGATATTTGTATTTTACTAAGAATTAATACATTTGAAGCTAAGGAATTTTCATATTACCGTTAAAAAATAATTATTTATGTGCAATTTCTGAAATTCTTGCCCTATTGATAGTTAAGATTTTGAAATATTTTTGGAATAAACAAAATAGTTTTGCCTTTCTGGATCCACCCAGGGTAGAAACAAAATCGATCTTCGCGCATTTTATTTTGTCACTCAGGAACCAAAAGGAGACTGGGTAATAAATTGGAAGAATACGAACAATTAAACATTATAATTTGATGTTTTTACATACTTAGGTCTTTTTATTGACATTTTTTATCTACAAATTGACGGGTAGTAACCTGCAGCAGAGATAATGACTTTGATGAGCAAAAAAGAAGAGACATTTTTATGTTTTGAAATGGGAATTATGAAAAAATATACCAGTTGAAATAGAAAAAGGTTAAGAAGATTAATAAATCATGAAATAGATAAAAAATTAACAAACGAAAATATAGTTAAGGTAATCAAGACACATGTACATAAGATTGGATGATCAAGTACATACGGATCTATAAAATATTAAAGGAAAGCAGATGGAGAAAGAAAATTAGGAATAGACACATGGCGAGGTATTGTCGAAAATGCCAAAACTGAGATAAAAAGATTTAGGTAAATTTAAAGAATTTTTTGATCACCCGTTCAAAATATATCCAATTTTGTTTTTTTTTTCATAATTTTTTGATTAATGGATCAAATTAGTAGTTTTTTTTTTAATTTTCCCATTTTTATGTACTTTTAAAAAAGAAATACGAAAAATTTTTCCTATAAAATTGGTCCAGGGTCCTTTAAAATGCAAAGGTATTCTGAAAAACTGCGTTACGCAATACTTAAACGCTGGTGGTTAAGGGTCTAACTACCGTTCCCCAAAAATATCCACTCGTTCGAAAAGTAAGCGATTTTAAATGGGCGAAATTTTATGAAAATATCGAATAAAGTGGACTTGGTCCTTTTTGGCAGCGGAAAAATTTGGTTAACATTTAAAATATAACCTAAATTATTTGTATTTAAATGCCAAAGTGGGACTTTTGGGTGTGGAGCATAGTACACAAGGAGTACAAATTTAATAGGGGAAATTGACAAAAACTGCCTATTAAATCGCACAAATTACGTTTTCCATTTTCACCACTAGCAACGCTGATGTGAGAAGCCATTTGTATGCATGAAGGCTCCATGGTACAATGTTTCATTAATTATTAATCTAGATAGCTGTAAGGTATAAATAAAATTCAAAATTCTAACAGGTAATACTTATATATTACTATATTACAGAAGAAAATAAAGATTGTATAATACAGTGTGTATAAGTACATGTGCCGTATTTAGAGCAGCGTGCTCCATTATATAAGAAAATAAATACAAAAAGTAAATAGCAATGCTGCTAACATTTTAAAAAAATTAAATGTATTTGCGTTATACCTAATAATACACATTATTAATTGTTTTTATGCCTATCCCATATTTCACAGTATGTTACAACTACAGTAAAAAAATCAACGAATCGTTAATAATAACTGTTCAGTACAAAACAATTTTAGTAATATCTAGACTATACATTAAACATAATAAATTAAGTATAAGAAATTTTGTTATAGTACATAAATCATTGTTAGAATATTTCCTTTTTTGACACCTGGACGGAAAATATATATAAAATCTATCTCTATTGCCTAAACAGACACTTTTTTATATAAAAGCGAAAAAGGAATGATATTTGAAAAATTTATTTAATATTCTATGAAACACATTTTAAATTAAACTGTAATAACCTAGATGGTTGGGGTTTAACCACTTTAAATGAAATCGATGTTTTTGTAAAAATAAATACTCCATTTATCGACTTCTCTTTACTTAAAGTGTGATATGTTTATAAAACGCCAATTAAAATAAATACATTTCAGACTTATAACTTTTGTTTTAAATGCATAAATTATACAATAAAACACAAATTCTATTATTTGATTTTTATATTATAATCTATGGACTAAATATTAAGTACTCAGTATATATTTGTTGTGCATAGCAAAATTGGCGGGTGTAGTTCTACCTACAATTTCAGCAGTATTTTTATAATATATTTTCGTATAGTTTCTTTGTTTCACACCAGAATATTTTTAATTTATAATAAATAAATACTTACATTTTCCAACATAACAGTGTGCAATAGTTTCTTTTTATAAAGTTAATTCGGTTCTTAATTAAGTAAATATGGCATAACTGATTTTATAAATTTTATAAATAAATTTTTAACATTTAATTTGATTTAAAATTTAAAATATTATAAAGGGTAAATTATACTTATAATACAAAATAACCGAACCATACGAACCCTTATCGCTTTATTAATTTAAATTAAGATTAATTGGTGAGCAATTCAATTCAAATCTTACTGCTGCGTTTGGTTCATTTTCGTTTCTAACGATATATACAGAATTGCACAGTTCAGTCCTGGCAACGTCTAGGAATCATCTAAACATTTCAAATCAATTCAATCACATTTTTATAAATATGAATTCCAATTCATAGTTAAGTATCATACGCAGTATTACCTACTAAAAACAGTATATTTTTAAGTGCGCAAAACAATGCGCACCAAATTTAATGTTTTAGGTAGGCATTTCTAACGTTAGAAAGCTACAGTTGTATTTGGAAAGCTTTGGGTGTAGGATTGCTTGACAAGAAAGGGTTAGTGTTGTTGGTGTTCTGCCTGGCCGCTAGAGTGGCCCATTCCGCATCAAAAGGATCCGGTTGCGCGGATCTCGGGAACGTTTCGGCGGAATCGAGCGACATGGCTCTGGAATGTGCGCCGATGGCGGGGCCCCTCCTCGGGGAGCTACCGTCCATCTTGACGGAGGTTGGAGCGGTATCGCCGACAATCTGGCCGAGCCACTGGTCCGGTCTCGGTAGGCTTGCGTTGGAAGTAATACTGTTGCTTACTGATGAGCGGTTCGTCATAGGTGAGACGGTTCTACTTAAGTTGGGGCTGAAGTTTAGGCTTACCGGAGTTATCGTGTTCGTAGTAGCTGTCGGAGTCGACGTGATCGATTGGTTATACGTATTGTTTATCGTAGTTACGTTGAGATTGAGTGTGTTTTGATTAACTGACGTTTGGTTGTTGAAGTTAAAGTCGTCCGATCCGCTGTGAGTCAATTGGCTCAAGCCCTGGGACAGTTGCTGGCACAAAGCTGTGACCGGGTCGCCTGGCGAGAGTTCCGGAATGGGTGATACCGCAGGTTTAGTCGAGTTTGTGGGCGAGGTCGGCGATTTGTACGAGTTTAACCTGGCGGTGTTGCTAGGAAGTTCATTGACTCTTAACGACATCTGGCGTTTGAAGGGGGAGTTTTCACCGAGAGTGCTGAAACCTCTACAGCTGCCCTGTCTTTGCAGCATGCCAGGGGTGGCGTGTGGTCTTTCTATCGCGAACGGGTTCACTGGTGGCGGTTTACCTGAGTTGCCCACGTCTATGCCTCGCTCCATTCTGTCTGTAAGACTCGGTTGTCTGAAGGAACCAGTGCGAGTGAAGGTGTTGTTCTTGGCATCGAACATCATAGTGACTCCGCATTCTTTATCGCGTTTTTGTTTTCGTTCCAGGCACACTGCGAAGGCGCAACCCACGGCGTGTGATAGTCTTTCTCCGGATTCTCTGAGTGCTAAAAAACCGTGACACATCCACCTTCTAGTGGTGCCATCTCTGCAGATGTAACTGAAACCTCGTTCGTGGTTTCTATCGGGTGCGCAGAATGACACTTTTTCGATTGTTTGATCCACTATTAAACCTTTGGTTTCCTCTTCCACAACTCTTAATCCATCACCGCTCACGTGGAGAATGGCTCGTACAGGTCTTCGTCTGGATCCCTAAAAAATAACAATAATTAGCAATGATAAGATGTTATATTATTAAGAAAAAACATACCCTTAAGACTTTGATGGCTTCCTCGCAGACTTGCATGCCTCTGGAATCGAACACTTCCACGCATCCTAAGTATTTGACGGAAAAAGTGCAGGTTCCAGACCTCACTGCAGATTCGTCTGCTTGCCATTGATGAGGTTTCGAACTTTCTGGGACGCGGTCCTTTCGTCTGCGGAAGGAGTCCCGAAACGATCTACGCAGTCGGTCCATTTTTTTCGGTGAGCGAAGACTCCTCCTCTGTAATAAAATTGATATTTAAATTTAAAGAAGACTTAATTTTAAAACAAATTGTAAAATGTGGTATAAATCATAATGTATAAACTATATAAATGTATAAAGTATGATTGTAAAATGTCACAATGATATATTGTCACATTATTATGTATACAGAGCAATTTTAAAGCTTTTTGTGAAATGGTTAAATTCATCAGTTTCAAGTAAAAATACAATATCGTAGTTAACCATATTTTTATTTTATTAAACTACCTATAAGTTTGTATCATTACTTTGTACTTAAATTATTTTTTATTATTGAAACTGAAATGTATACTATCAAACAAATCTCGACAATGAATTTAAATGATAATGTGTAATAAAACTATTTCAACCACAGACCAGGTTGTGATTTAAACTATATTTAGACGCAATGAGAACCATGGGCGTGCCTTAAGTAATTTTTAAATTGGTGACCTGGAACGAGGAAATTGACCTCCTATCTAAAACAATATTTTGATAAAATAAAAATTTGAAGTTATATTATAACATTTATTTCGTACGGTTTTAGGTATCAATTTTTTTTTTAATGTCTATAATACAGTAGAGCATTTCTACTGCACTGGTGAAATACAATCTACAATTGAATGGTATTATTTAATACGCCTACTAAGCAGATGTTTGTCAGAATGCAAATTTTAAACAGCGTGCTTATGGTTTGCAATTTCCTGACAAACATTTTAAAGGTTATTTTTTGCTAAAGCATTAAACAAAATACTTATTCACAATTGATTTGCAAATGTCTACGTGTTCATATAATATAAGGACAATTGAAAGTTTACTTGCAGTTTTATCATTGTTGATTACATTAGTCTTTCGAATGATGAAATCAACACGCAATGTTCGTTTTATTAATTAATTACCCTCATGCCACATTTAAGATTCCTTCTAATTATTGTCGTTGCCTTGTTTTTACTCGAATTGAAATTAAGTGGATTTTATTATTAGATCAAGCAATAAAAAAGATTTATGTGGATGTCAATCAACAGTGTTTCAACAGTTAACTAAATAAAAAATTATTATTTTTTTAGTAAATTTTATTATTTTTAATCATCCATAAAATTTTATAACTGCTGATAAGTACCAATTATAAAGGATAAGTACCAATTATACAAAAAATTATGATATACAGTGTGTCCCCGAGTGGACTAAAAAAGAGTTTTTTTTATTTTTAACTTTTTTAAAAAATGTTATTCTTCATATTATGTTTTAAAACTAATAAAAATCCAAACAAAAGTTGAATAGGTATGTAGGTCTTTACTTTATTAAAATAATGACAAGAGGGCACATGTAAAAAAATATGCATACATTTTTCTTATCACACAAATTTTCATTTAAATCAAGTCATCGTGTGACTTTGTATTAAAATTGTAAAAATAAATTAATCTACGAGTACCTACATACCTAATTGCAGTTATTTTGCTATAATGTTTAACCTTTTCCAAAGGATTTATCTTGTCCAGTGTTATGGAATTGTTATGAATACCATAAAAAATGCTTACAAAGATTTTTTATACAGAACTAAAAGATGTGTTAAATAATATAAATAAAACAAAAACCTTTTTTGTATTAGGTATTTCAATAAAGCAAAGAGATAATTATTCATTTTCTGTTTGGATTATTATTAGTTTTGAAACAAGCAAAAACTTTTATGAAGAATGACATTTTTTCGAAAAGGTGAAATTAAAAAGGTTTTTTTCTATTTTTAAGTATATCGATTTTGAAAAAGATTATTTTATACACTTTTTTGTTTCCTAAAGTTTCCTCCTGATTTTTGTCGTTTTTTGATTTGTTAAGAAAATAATTAAACCACGTCAAGAGATAATTTTTAATATTTAATACAAATTTATCCAATGGCAAACATAGCAGGAGGTAAATGATTTGGTTTTATAGCTTCTAAAATTCGTGCAAATGACTATTAAACTTGGATAAGTTTAGCATATAAAATGAATAAAAATAAATCGCAGAATAAACATTAAGGCGCCTGAAATCTAGATGCTTAGCGATAAAATTGCAGAAAATAGTTTGTATAAGTACTAAAATACAATCTATAAAAACTAATCCTACATAAATATTTTTTGCGATATCTTAATTTGTTTTTTTTTTATGTACAGTTAGGGACACGGAATTTTGAACGCCATCCCGTTGACAACAAAATCTTAACTTCCTTTATGTACAATTAACCTTACTTCTGGATATCACTAGTCTTGTCATTTTGACAGCGAAAGCAAAAATGGTCAATATTGTATCTTTGCTATTTACAGATTTATACATGGACAACAAAATAATGACGTTCAAAATTCCGAGTCCGCCACTGTACATAATAAAAATGTGGTGTGTTTTCTTGTAGTTTTCTTTATTAATGTAATCATTATTAGTAATAACTTATTACGATCCTTCAGACTTTTATGTAGGTACATATATGTATAATATACATACATATGTACCTACATAAAAGTCTGAAGGATCGTAATAAGTTATTACTAATAATGATTACATTAGAAAACAAGAAAACACACCACATTTTTATATATACATTGTATATATATATATATATATATATATATATATATATATATATATATATTAGGGTGATTCAAAAAATCTAATATTATTTTTTTCTACTTCTGATATCGAAAAATTGGTTTCCAGGTACCTCAAAAGAATACTATTTACGTATGAGTTCTTAATATTAATAGAAAAATCCTTAATCAAAATTTTATAACTCGCAGAATAATTAGCAATTTGAAAGAAGTAGTAGGTAAATATTTTAGTTAAAAGTTACTGATATGTAGTTATACAAAAAAATAGTTTTTATTTCTCCATCCTTAAATTTTAAAAGTATATAATCAAGAACCTTGTACAAACATTTGGGGATTAAAAAAATCAACAAAAAAAAAATATACTTAATGTAACTCGAAAATTTTCCTTTTTGAATTTTGAAACAAAAAAATACGTGTCATTATTTTCGTATCGTAAAGAAAAAAAATATTTTGGGCAAATTAAAATTTTGTCTCAAAATTTGGGATTAAATAAATTGATTTTTTTTAAATGACGACGAACTGTATTTTTATTGGATTGGTGAATAAAAATTCCGACGCAAACAATCGAAGTGGACGTGTGTTTATTCTTTGTGTTAATAAATATTTTAGGTTATCTATGATATAAACGGTATTTAAATATATTCGATGAATAAACAATTAGGCAGGCTATAACTCAGAAATGAATAACACAAATATTTGAACAATGGTTACTTAAATTTTTTCAAATGTTTCTTTACAACAAAGAGGATTTGCGTCAATTAACTTACTTAAATTGTATACAAAAATTTTGTTAATTGTTATCTTTAATAATATGCATAACAAAAACTATATTTAAAGTAAATTACGATTAGAAAATATGATATTTTTTAATATAAAATATATTTATATATACCTTCCCTAACTCTATCGTTTTTGTAGTAAAAACTAAGAAACTTAATTTTTAAAATAAAAAGTGCAACTTGGGATGAGGAAATTAGATTCAAATTGTTTTTGCAATGAACCTTGAAATGGCTGGACAAAATATTCAACAGAGCGTTTAAACATTATCCACCGTTATAAAACGTCAACATTAATTGTAAAATGATGAATAGTTGTAGTCTAAAAATAAAACAAAATAGTACTTTTTCAAGTATATCGTAATTTTCTTAAGAAGGAACAATTTATTTGGTAAAATTAAATTAAATCAAATTAATAACACATTTTTTGTATACAAAATATTATTAATATTATTATATCGTACAATAATGTAATATTACTTATTATAATATTCAAAACTATAAATACTTTACTTTAATAGAAGTTAAAATCACGCGATTTCTGATAAAAACTACCACTTGAAAATTGGGCCAAGGCTGGGATTTTAAAGTTTAGTAGGTTTTAAAAAGTCTTTTTTAAGCTTCTTTGTTGCTCCTTTTGTTAAAGTTATTAGTTATAAAAGTGCTTTTGTAATAAAGTAAATAAATGTTACAATCATGGTTTAAATGATGGAATAATATTATTTTTCCACTCCCACCTTTAAAACGCCCATTATCGCACATGTTTAAATGATACTAAGTAACCTTTTAAATACACATTGACAAGTTGTGTTTTTATGGCTTTTTAGTCACGGGTTGAAGTTGGTTGACTGTTGTCAAATGTCATACAATCGTTAAAATAAAGTGCCCTCCTTGTAAAATAATACTAAATTTAAAAATTATTTTATTATTTCAATACAAAAATACAAAAGTTTTAAATTGTTTCTCAAAGTCAATATTTGAAAACCTGACTGACCTTTTAATTTCGCCGGCAGTAAACTAGATTTAACTTAGCTTCGGGTGGAGACTCGGTAAAGTGCCAATAAATAATTTTCTTTACTTTCATTATGAAAAACTGCTTCTATATCGGATTGAACAATCCATTTTTAATGGATACATTTCGATTTACACATAAAAATTTGACATTTGACACAATACTCTATTGTTTTATAGATGTCGCCCTATACAAATGTTTAATTTAAATAATTTTTAGATAACAATAAGTATTTGTCGTAGAAAAAGTACCTATATTATGATAGTTGCATAATGCAACTCGTTTATAATTTTTTTTAGAAACTCATTCAATTAAGCTCGCTTGTGCCTAATTTAAATTCGTGACTAAAATGGCGATTATCAAACTTGATACATAATATACTATACTATTATAGAGTAATTAGATATTAATTAATTCGATGAACTATTTAATTAATATTATTTATTTTTACACATTAACATAAATAAAGGTCGACTTTTCATGGAAATAATTATGAGTCATTAGGGATTGTTTATAAGTTTTGAATTAAACCAGACAAAAATTATTTTACTGAATCATGGTATTAACAAAAATGACTCAACGTATACTGCTGATTATTTAAAGAAGAGATGAATAATTTTTAATTTGATATTT